CCCCAGCCCCCGTCCGCAGCCCCACTCACGTGGGTCAGATTTGGAGAAGGTGTCCTTGTCCAGGAGCTGCCTGCGGGGAGAGGGGAAACTGAGGCACGGGGGGGGGGGGGGAACGGGACCCAGGGCTGCGAGGTGGTGCACAGGGTGATGTGGTGGCGCACAGCCGGAGCTGCAGCGGCTTCGGGGAGTTTCTCTGCTCCCCGATGGAGTGGGAGGAAAATAGGTCGGAGCGGCTGCAGGCAGCACAGCTGGGGGGGGGGACGGGGACACAACGGGGGGCAGTCAGGATTCCCCATCCAAAACATTGAATCCTGAACCCAGCCTGCTTGAAGGGCTTTGGGGTCCCAGGGGGTGGGATTGGGGCAGGGAGGGGCGCTGTGCTGTCACCCCCCCCCTTCAGTCAGCACAGCGTTGGGGGGGGCCGGGTGCCGGGTGATGGGTGCCAGGTGGCAGCGGGCACAGGGCTGGGGGGGGGGGGGGATGCGGGGGAAAGGACCTCAGGGCGGGGGGCACAGGGGACATGGGGCAGCCCGTCCTGTGCACCTCTAGAGACCGCAGACCCCGTCCTGCTGCCTCCCAGTGCCCCCCAGCCCCACTGCCCTTTTCTCTCTCGGTGCCTCCCTGTGCTCCCCACAACACCCCCTGGTGTCCCTCGCTGCTCCCCAGTAGCTCCCAGTGCCTCCCAGTATCCCACAGCCCCGAGTGCCCCTTGGTACCCCAACACCATCCACCCCTGTGCTTCTCATCCCCCACAGTGTCCCAGCACCCCGCAGTGACCCACAACCACCACCCCCACTCGCCCCCCCCCCCCCCAACCCGGTGCTGCCCCATGGTGCCCTACAGCTGCAGCCACCTCCGCTCTCCCAGTGCCCCCGCAACCCCTGGGTTCCCCCCCATTCAATGCATTTCATCCTCTGTGCTCCCCAGTTCTTTCCAGAACATCCCAGTATCCCACAACAACCACATCCCGCTCCCCCAGAGCCTCCCAGTACCGCACACCGACTGCTCCCCAGTGCCTCCATTACCTCCCAACGCTCCCAGCTCCATACACTCCAAGTGCACCCCAGTGCCCCACACTGCACGCACTCTGACTGCTCCCCAATGCCCCCAGTACCTCCCAGCGCTCCCAGCTCCACGCACCCCAAATACTCCCCAGTGCTCCCAGTGCCTCCCAGCACCACACACCCGCGGTCTCCTCCATTCCCCAACGCCTCCCAACGCCTCCCAGTGCCACGCACCGTGGGTGCTCCCCAGTGCTCCCCAGTGCCTCCCAGCGCCGCACACCTGCAGTCTCTCCCGCTCCCCCAGCGCTCCCCGGTGCCAAACACCTCCAGTCTCCTCCATTTCCCAACGCCCCCCAAAGCCTCCCAGCGCCCCGCACCCCGCTCCTACCTGCAGGACACCGTCAGCTCCACCTTGGTGGCCGGAACGCAGCCGGTGCCGCCCGCCCGCAGCCCCCCCAGCCCCGCCATGCCCCGCTCCGCCCTCCCGGGGCCGCCGCCGCCGCCGATCCCGGGGCCGTCCCGGCGCTTTCGGGGCTCCCGGTGCTCCCGTTACAGCGCTGCCGCAGCGCCGCCGCCCCGGGGCTGCCCCCGGAGCCTCCCGCGAGCCCGCCTCTGTCCGGCCCCCGCGCCGCCCCCAGTAGCGCCCAGTGCTCCCGGTGCCGCTCCCACCACCGCCCGGTGCCCGCGGTGCCGTTTTGCAGCAAGCCCAGCGCCGCCCGGTTGATCCCAGTGCCGCCCCACTCCGTCCCCAGTACCGCCCACCGCTCCCAGCGCCATCCCCTGTATCGCCCAGCGCTTCCAGTGCCACCCTGGCACACCTCCAGCCTCACCCGGAGCTCTTCGTGCCGACCCAGCGTCGCCCAGCGCTCCCAGCGCCACCCCCGCCGTCACCCAGCGCCCTCAGTACCGCCCTGCCGCATCCCGCTACCTCTCAGCGCTCCCTGTGCCACCCCCAGTTCCCCCTCATTCTACTCCAGCATTGCCCAGTGCTCCCAGTGCCACCCCGCCACATCCCCAGGATCGCCCCCCGCTCCCCCCCTCCCCACATCCCCCTGCGCTGCTGCCCCTCAGTGCCTCCCAGCGCCCCCAGTTCCCCTCCCACCCCCCCTCAGTGCTCAAGGTTCTCCCCGGTGCCCGCAGTGGGGTTGCACTGAGCCCACGGGTGACAAACCTGCGGCCCACAGGCGACACGTTCCTCCAGGGGTGGCGCTTCATCTCCATGTCCCCACACGTGGGATTGGTGCTAGGGGTGACCACTCCACGTCCCCAGAGGTGACACCTCCCTGCCACGTCCCTCAGGGTGACATTTCTGCGCCCATAGGTGACACCTCCACGTCCCCAGAGGTGATCTCTCCATGCCCCACCTGTGCCACCTCTGTGCCAACGGGTAACGTCTGCGTCCCCAGAGTTGACACCTCCCCACCCCACGACACCCCTCTGTCCCTATGGGCAACATAACATCTCTGTGTCCCTGTGACACCTCCACACCCTATGGGCGACATCTCCGTGTCCCCAGGGCTGACACCTCCACACCCCACGTGTGACACCTCCATGCCCCTACAGATGACATCTCTGTGTCCCTACACACGAAGCCTCCATCCCCTATGAGCGACACCTCTGTGCCCGTATAGGAAACACTTCCACGTCCCTATGGGTGATGTTTCCACATCCCCAGAAGTGACACCTCCACCCCCCTATGGGTGACGCCTCCATATCCACAGGGCTGACACCCCCACGCCCCTATGGGTGACACCTGTGCCCCCAAAAGCGACTCCTCCAAGCCCCCAGAGGCGACACCTCGCTCTCCCCTCAGCACAGCGCCAGCACACCGCTCCATGCACGCTTTTATTCCCCGCGTCACCCAGCAGGGACGGCTTTGAGGACTTTCACATCATCCAGAGGTCGGTCCTGAGCGTTGGTTTCCACCATGCCCACCCTGCCCAGCACCCCGATGCCTTGGCACACGCGCCCAAAGATGGTGTGTTTGCCATCCAACCACTGCGCCGGCGCCAGCGTGATGAAGAATTGGCTGCCGTTGGTGTCCGGCCCCGCGTTGGCCATGGCCAGGATGCCTGCGCCTGGAGATGGATGGAGAGAGGGATGGAGGAAGGGATGGATGGGATCGGTGGTTTGTTAGGGTTTGGTTGGTTCTTAAGACATAAAGGTGGGATTTGGGGACTGAGATCTCACCGGTGAACTTCAGCTCGGAGTGCAGCTCGTCCTCAAAGTGTTTGCCGTAGATGGAAGCACCGCCACGGCCTGTGGGCATGGAGATCAGCAGGGGGTCGTGGCCCCACACCACGGGATCCCCATTGCAGGGCCGGGGAGCTTCTGGTGTCCCCAGGGTCCCAGCATCCCTGTTAGGGGGCTGAGGGTCTTGGCGTTCCCACTGTGCGACTTGTGACCCCATCTCAGGGCTGAGGGTCCCAGTGCTCCCATCATGAATCTGGAGGATCCAGCATCCCTATGAGGGGGCTGAGTGTCCCCACTGTGAAGATGGGAGTCCTGATGACCCCACGACAGGGCTGAGGGTCCCAGCGTCTCCCCTGCAGGTCAGGGATCCCACTGTCCCCATCACAGGGCTGAGGATCACAACGTTCCCATCAGAAGGGTCCCAGCCTCCCTGTCACAGAGCTGGGGGGTCCCGACGATCCCATCGCAGGGCTGAGAATCCCAGCATCCCCGTGACAGGACAGGGAAGACCCTGCTGTCCCAGGAGGGGCTGTGGGGTCCCTGCGCTCACCGGTGCCCGTGGGGTCTCCTCCCTGCACCATGAAGTCCCGGATGATGCGGTGGAACCGGGTGCCGTTGTAATACCCGCGGCGGCACAGCTCAGCAAAGTTCTTGCAGGTGCGTGGAGCGTGGCGCCAGTACAGCTCCAACACCAGGGTGCCCATCCTGCCCACAGCACCACAGCGTCAGCATCGGGGAGACCGGGAGGGGGGAACCGAGAGGGATCAGGGCAGGGAGAAGCTGGAAACGGGGGGTGAGGGAAGCTGGGGTAATGGGGTCGGGAACCAGGGTGAGGGGGAGATCCCGGTATTGGGAACGGGGGGTGGTCCTGGAGCCGGGGCTGGGAGATGAGGGGAGCTCCGGTACAGCGGGGTTCCCAGGAGCACGCCGCTATCGGGGGGGGGAAACCGGAGTGCCCCGGGGGAGGGAAGGCGGGCAGAAGGGGGTCCTGGTCGAAGGCTGGGGGAACCCGAACACCTGCGGGTCCCGGTACCGGGCTTGGGGGGATTGTGGGAGCGGGGAGGAGGGACCCAAAGGGCTTCCGGTACCGAGCGGGGAACCCGGCGGGCCCAACAGCGAAGGGGGAGAAGAGAGGAGGGGAGGCAGAAGGGGGTCCCGGTAGCGGAGCGAGGGTTCCGGGGCATCCCTAAACCGGGGGGTCCGGTACCGAGCGCAGAGGCCCGCAGGGTTCCCGCCTCTTACGTGGTCTCCATAGAGACGGTGGGCGGCTGCCAGGAGTCAGGCGGGACGGCGGCCATGCTGTGCGCCGCTATTGCCGCCGGCACCGGAAGCGGCCCCTCGGCGTTTCCGGTGACACGCCCCCCTCCCCGCCGACGGCCAATGAGCAACGCGGACGGGGCGGGGGCGGGGCCAATCGGCGCGGCGGGCGGGAGCGTGAGGCGCCATTGTGGGGCCGGAGGGAGAATTCGAACGGGCGGAGCGCCCCGCCCCCGCCCTGCCGGACCTCCCCGCGGCGCCGAGCGGGAGCCGGGCGGTGAGAGTGGGAACGGGAGCCGCGCTGTGGGGCTGAGACCCCCAGGTGTGGGGTTGCTGTTCCGCCGGGATGGGGGAGTGGGGTCGGCATCCATCGTTATGGGGCTGCGGGGCCCTATGGAGTTCGGGATGGTGCGGGTGTGGGGCTGGGAGCCCTCGGGATGGGGGCGAAGGGCTGGGATGTAATTCATGGGGCTGGGGGCTGGGGTGGGGGCTGGAAACCTTTCAGGGTTTGGGGCTGGGGCGGAACCTGTATGGGATTTGGGGGGGGGCTGGGACCTCCCTTTTGGGGGCTGTGCGCTGATAGGGCCGGGTGAGGATGCGGGGCTGGGACACCACAGGGTTTGAGGCCCATAGGTGGGGCTGGACCCCCTGGGTACGGGTCTGCATCCCCTGGGATGGGGCTGTAGGGCCGGTGTGGGGTGCAGAGCTGCCCCCCCCAGCAGTGGGTTTGGCCCCCCCCCGGTGTTCGAGTTCATCCCGTGCTGCCCCGTGCTGTCCCCGTGGCCACAAAGCCCCGTTGTGCCCGGTGCTGGCAGAGCTGTTCCCAGCAGGCGCTGTGCCCGGAGCTGGGACGTTGTGGGGGGGCCATGGGGTCACCTCTGCTTGCACCCAGGTCACCCATGGGCTCCGGTGCCGCTCACTGACTGGGTGTGATGATGGAGGAGCAAGGTAGGATGGCCGTTCCCAACTCGGGGACCCCCTCTGTGTGCTCCAACGTGGGGACTGCAGGCCCCCATCACGCCCCCCCCGCATCGCCCCCAGATGTGCAATTCATCACCGAGGAGAAGTTCGACTTCAGCATCCTGTCCCCTTCTGACAGGTGAGACGGGGACACAGGTGACATAACATGGGCAGGTGTCAGCCCACGATGTGTCACCTGCTGCCCGGTGCGGGGCTCCCGGGCAGGGTTAATGCTGCCCTTCACCCCCAGCCGTGAGGATGATGACGATGATGAGGAGCCCCCAGGGGGCACAAACGGGCGCTGGAGCCCCCTGAGTGGGGCCGGGCTGGAGGAGATGGTGCGTGAGGCCACTCGCCTGGCAGCACAGCTGCAGCAATGCCACCTGTCCCCGCTGCCCCCCGGCCCGGGAGGGGGCAGCCCCCGCAGCCCCCGCCGTGAGACCTTCGTGGTGAAGGACAGCCCTGTGAGGGCCTTGCTGCCCACCGTGCCTGCTGCCAGCGTCCCCAAGGTGGGTGGCACTGCAGGGGGGGGGGGTGGGAAGGGGGCACGGCGGTGGTGCGGGGTGCGATCTGCATCCCTGTGCCCCCCCCTCTTACAGGAGTCCCCCCGCTGTCGCCCCCCGGCACCACCCAGGGGAGCCCCCAGCAGCAGGGGGACCCCGAGGCAGAGTTGTCCCCCCCGGCCGTGCCCAGCAAGGGGGGCTGTGGCGCGGGGCAGGTCTGAGCCCCTCCGTGCAGAGACAGCAGGTAATGGAGGGGGGGCCGGGAAGCAGGACGGGCTCAGCCCACCCCACGGGGACCACATTGGGAACGGGAACAAGGCCCGTGCTCCCCCAGCTCCGCCGTTTCTCCCAGCTCAGCCAAAGCTGAGGAGCAGCGCTGCCACCCCCCCGAGCCGCGCACCCCGTGCCAGGGCCACCACCGCTGCCAGCACGGCCCCCAGCAGCCGCCCCCCCCCACCCAGTGCCATCCCCAAGCCCCCCGGCCGGGCTGGGACCGCAGCAGGTGGGAGGGGAGCCCCCCGGAGCAGCACAGCTGCACCCAGAGGTAAGGATGGGGACCGTCCCCTCTGACAGCGTGGCGCCGCGCCGTGCCTCGGTTTCCCCACGCCTGCTCTCCCCCAGGTGCTCCCCTGGGGCTGGGGGCTGCTTCCAGGTGCAGACTTGGCCCCCCAGGCAGCCGCCTGCAGCCCCCCCGCAAGACGGCAGCCGGCGGCGCCCCACGCTGACAGCATCACCCAGCTGGGGAAACTGAGTCACGGGGGAAGGGGGGCACGGTGAGACCCCCTCCCCCCCCACAAGGGAGGAGGCAGAGGCTCAGGTCGGGTTTTGCTTTAATTACAAAAGGTCACACCAGCAGTAGGAAACCCCCCCCCTTTGCCCCCCCCCGCACCCGGGGGTCCCTCAGCCCCCCACCATCCTGCACCCAGCATTATGGCACCGCCTGAGCCTTGCCTGGGGGGCGAACAACCCCACGGCATCCGCACCCTCCAACTGCCCCCCCAGTGCCACAGCACAGCCGAGCAAGGGTGGCAGCCGTTTGCCCCCCCCGTCCCCCTCCTGGGGGGGCTGGCAAGCTGCGGGGGGGCCCTATAACCTTTTTTTTTTTGTATTTTCTCCCTTTTTTTTCCTTTTTTTTTTTCCTTTTTTTTTGTATTTTTCACGTGTTTTTTAAATAAAACCCTCCATCGGGCAGCGGCGCTGCAGGCGAATCCCTGGGGCAGCACACAGCACACAGCTGCCCCGTACCCTGGGGGAGGGGGGGGTGGAAGGGGGGGGGGGGGGGCAGGCAAATCCCTGCTGGCTGCAGGGTCCAAAGTGCAATGGGGGCTGGGTGCCCCCCACCCTGTACCGCTCTCTGCCCCCCCCCCCCCCCCTCCCCTGCTGTCCCTGGCGGCGGTGGTCCCTGTTAGATTGAAGTCTCGTCGCTCCTGCCAGGGGGGTGGGCACAAAGAGGGGGGGGGGGGAGGGTAAAATGAGACAGACAGATGCGTGATCACGGGGGGGGGGCCGGGGGTGCAGGCGCCCACCACGGTCGCAGCACCCAGCGCCCACCCAGACAGACAGAGATGGAGGGGGGGGGAGGGGAGGGCAGCCCCAGAGCCCCCCGTGTTAATGAAGGAAATTAAAAAACAGAAATCTGGGTCCGGGGGGGGGGAGAGGGAGGAGAGAAGAGCAGGGTTAGTGTGAAGGCTTCCTGGTGCAGCTCGTGGGGACAGAGCCGGCCCCCACCCATGGGTGTCCAGCGGGCCCCCATGCAGCAAAAGGGCACCCGATGGGAACCCAGTGAGCGCCCAGCAGGAACCCAATGGGAGCTGAGGGAACCCACGAGTACCCAATGAATGGGAACCCAAACAGGAGCCCCATGAGTTCCCTATAGGCACCCAGCGGGCACCCGATGGCATCCATGTGCTTCCCTCGCACCCATGGGACACCCTTCCACCTGATGAGCACCCATGGGCACCCAACTGGTGTCCTCACACCCAGCGGGGACCCAATGGAAACCCTTGCGTGCAATGGGGACCCAACGGGCACCCCAGCACCCCGTCAGCACCTGCTGCTCACTGTAGCACAGCCGGGCGCCCCAGCCCTTCAGGAGCCCCCCCGCACCCCGGGACCCCCCCGCAGCCCCCCGCCCATCTCCCAGCACTCACTCGGAGCCGGAGGAGTCCTCATCCACAGTGCCTGCTTTGATGCTCATGGCGATGGGCGCCGCGCTGCTCAGCTGCTCCTGCAGGCTCTGCCGGGGCCGAGGCCCCCCCGGCCCCCCCCGCTGGCTGCCCTCGCTCCCGGAGGAGGCGGCGGTGCCGGCGGGGGGCGGGGGGGGGCGCGGGGCGGCGCCGCGCTCGCTGATGGGCGGCAAACCCCTCTTCTTCAAGATGCCTGCGGGGACGAGAATGGCACCAGAGGGACGCGGAGCGCCGCGGTGATCCTGGCTCTGCACCCACGGGTGCCCCGTACCTTTGTGGGGGTGAGGGAGGGGCAGCAGCGGGGGCAGCCTTGGCGGCCCCTCCACCCCCGGCACCGGCTCCACGCGCAGCGGTTCCGCGCCTCCGTGCCCGTCGCTCTCGCTGGCCGTTGTCACAAACTCCCCGGGCCAATACGGCCGCGCCGGGGCCACCGCGCCGTCACCTGCGGGTTTGGGGACGGCACTGAGCCGGGGGACCCACGGGGCACCCAGACCCCCTCAGAGCCCCGCTTACCGGTGGGTGTGGGCGGCTGCTCGGGGCGCAGCAGCGCATCCCAGGCGGCGCCGCCGGCTTCGTCCTCGCTGTCCGAGGAGTGCGTGGAGCCGTAGGAGCCGCTGGGATCCTCCTCCAGGGACAGGTCGCTGTCGGAATCGCTGTCGTGCTCTGCGCGCCGGGAGGGTGGGAAGGCAGAACTCAGCGGGAGCCCCGGCGCTGCGCTCACCGCGAGCCCCGACGCGCGCTGCGCTCACCGTGCTGCGCGTCCGCGGTGTCCAGGAGCCCCCCCTGCTCTGCCGGCACGCGGCCGCCGTTCAGCCCCGCGTCCTCCCTGCGAATGACAGCGGTGACATCCCGCCCCCCTCCTCCAAAACGCGGCTGCGCTCCCAGCCCGCACCTGCGCACGAAGGGGATGTAGCTGTGCTGGCTTTTGGCCGCGCTGTGCAGCGATCCCGTGGAGTCCCCGCACGGCGCCTGGTACAGCCGGCCGGCCACGTAGGTGGTGTCGCAGCTGTACGCCTGCAGGGACGGGGACAGGGATGGAGGCTGGGTGCCGGTGGGACCCCGCGGTGCCCCCCATCCCATCCCACAGCCGCACACTCACGGTGGTCAGCGTGGATTTGGTGGCCAACGCGGGGTCGGGGCTCTGAGCGCGGGCGCAGGCGGAGCGCAGGCAGTGCCGCACCTCCCGGCTCAGCACCACGCACACCAGGAAAAAGAGGGGGCCCTGGGGTGGGAGGGGAGAGAGGGTGGGTGAGAACCGCATTCGGGTGTCCTCCGTTGGCACCTCAGGCGGGTGGGGGACAATTGGTGGCACTGGGTGTCCCTTCAGTGGCACCTCAAAGCAGGTGAAGGTCACTCTGTGCCTATGGGAAATCCTGTGCTGACACCCCAAACTGGGTGAGGGTCCCCCAGTGCCCGTGAGGTGTCCCCCATTGATACTCCAGACGGCTGAGGGATAACTGGTGGCCACCCCAAACCACGTGAGGGCCCCCCTGTGCCCAATGGTTGCCCCCCCATGGGGCAACGTGGGGCTTTGGGGGAATGGAAATATGGGGCTATGTGGGTGGAGGTACCTGGAGGCAGTTGGAGATGGCGAAGAGGTAGTGGAAGAGGATGGCATCGCTGTTGACGGCAAGCAGGGCGAGCAGCCAGGCCAGGCTGGGCAGCACCAGCACCACCAGTGCTGTCTGCAGTCCGGAGCTGGGGGGGGGGGGGAGGGGGCGACAGTGTCAGCAGCCCAGGGTGTGGGGGGAGCAGTGCTGCACACGGGCCCCTCTGCCAGCTGTGCTCCCTGTCCTTCATGTGTCCCTGTGCCAGCTCACTCACCTCGTGCCCTTCTTCTCGAAGCCCTGGGGGGTGGCACAGGACGCCCTGGCTGCCAGCACGAGGAAGAAGACACCGACCTATGGAGCAGGGAGTGAGGGAGGGCTGCCATGGGGCCCATACCCCGTATGTCCCTCGTGCCCCATAAGTTCCTTGTGCCTCTTATGTCCCATAGATTCCATATATCACCATATGCCCTTATGCCACATACATCCCATACACTCCACATGTTGTCTATGGCCTATTTATCCCCCATATTCCACACATCCCATACGCCCCATGTCCCCCACAGCCAAACGTCCTCCATGCCCTGTATGTTTTACAAACCCCACGTGCTCCCTATACATCTCATATACCCTACATGTCCCATAATTCCCCCACTCCCATGTTCCTTATACCCCCACATGGCCCCTTTCTATACCCCACATACCTACTCTATACTCCATTTCTTCCCCACGCCCCCACATACCCTATAAACCCCATATATCCCCCACACCCCACGTGTCCCCTCTGCCCCATAAGCCCCACGTATCCCCATCCTCCGCACCGCCACGGCGCAGGCGCTGGGCCCCGCCAGGCTCCACACCAGGCTGTCATGGATGGAGAGCCAGCAGAAGTCGGGGTTCCCGTAGCCCTCAGGGTCCAGCCCCACAGCCAGCCCTACACAGCCATGCGTTGGGACGGGGCCTCATTGGCTGAGGGGAGTTCCAGGGGGCGGGGCTCAGTGGGAAGGGCCGTGTCCTACCGGTGATGAAGGCAGGGAGCCCCCAGCCCAGCACGTGGTAGAAGCGCATGGGCCCGCGGTCGACGTGCCGGGGTTCGGTGCGGCGCCGGTAGAGGTGCAGAGCCTCCAGCAGCGCCCAGCCCACGGCACTCAGGTGCAGGAACTGCAGCAGGATGGCCACCACCGTGCATGCCAGCTGTGGGCCGGGGGGGGTCAGACAGGAACTGCCCACCCACGGAGCCACGCCCCCTCATAGCCCCGCCTCCTCAGAAAGCCCCGCCCACCGCAATCCACACCCGCCTTTAGCCCCGCCCCCATTTAAACCCCCAGCTCTCAGACGGCCTCCCCCCTGCTTAACACCTCCACAGCTCAGCGCCCCCCACCTCCCACGATCCCGCCCCATTCATCCCCACCCCTCTCCCACTTCCCCGTCGGCTCCACCCCGGTTCGCCCCGCCCCCCCCTCCCGGCCCCGCCCCTACCGGCAGCTCAGCCTGGTTGATGCCCAGCAGGAAGACAAGCTGTGCCAGCAGCAGCGCACAGGCGCCGTGCCGCCGGATGCTGTGACGGTTGGAGCTCAGCCCCCGCAGGGCGCTCAGCACCAGCACGGCCAGCAGCAGCCCCGCCAGCGCCACGCCGAGCGAGCCGTAGGTCAGAGCCGCCAGCGGGAGGATCTCCCCGTTCTGCCGGTACCGAAACGCTAAGCCACGCCCCCCTCCCTGGCCCCGCCCACGCTTGGCCACGCCCCCTCCCCGGTACACAACCGTGGTCGTTGCCTCGTGGCCCCGCCCACAGCGCCACACCCAATGGGGAAACGCCGCTCCCTGCTTTGGCCACGCCCCCACTGCAGCTGACCCCGCCCTCACGTAGAGCTCCACCCATTTCTTGGCTCCGCCCCCGTCCGGGTGCCCCGCCCACAGCATGACAGCCTATGGGGAGCCTCGCTCCCTGTTCAGCCACGCCCCTATGGAACCCCTATGGAAAGCCCCGCCCACTTTTGCTCCCGCCCTACGACCGCCCCTCCCACCTGGCAGCCCCATTCACAAAACCCCTCCCTTTCCACCAGCTCCTCCCACTCACCTGGCCCCTCCCACTTTCCATAAGCCCCGCCTCCAGCACCCCACACCCAGTTCCCACGTGCCATCCCAGCATCCCCTGCCGCCCCCCCAAGTCCCCACCTCGCGCCGGGAGATGTCCATGAGCACAGCAAAGCTCGTCATGTGGTTGCACTGGCAGCTGACGTGGCTCTGGTTCCGGAAAACCACCTCACAGCCCCGCGCCGACCAGCCGCCCGCACCGCCTGCCCTGCAACCAACCGGGACACCCCATAATGGGACACCCCGCAATGGGACACCCCATAATGGGACACCCCATAATGAGACACCCCATAATGGGACACCCCGCAATGGGACACCCCAACCAGGGATCCCCCGCCACAGAACCGGGCTGCCCCCCACCTCC